AATACATAAATTTGGCACTTGTAGAAGATTGCCTACTTTTCTTTACCAAAGAAAAGGACAATCATATCAGAGATAATTTTGCAATTGGTGCAAAGGATAGCTAGAAAGCTAAAATAAAGCAGGATAACCCCTACCCTGACCCCATTATCTCTCTGTATGTATCTGGAGGGCCTGCACTGTGCATTTTTAAGTAGAATGGTTCACTGCTTCTAACAAGATTGTATTACAGGTAACTTCTAAGGACTTTCATCTTTTTATTCACTTAATATACTTATTGACAACATTTGTTTTTAGGCCGTTAAAGTGTTCTAAGCATGGTTTTGACATGGTGAAATGTGAGGTTTATTTTTAGGTTTCCCTACTGGCAGTGTCAAGCTAGATAGAGAAGAGAGACTATGGACTGAAGCCAGTGGGGAGACGCATCTTGTACCTGTCCATCTAAGGCGTTGTCAGAGCAGACATAACTTTCTACAGTGCATAACAGATTTTAGTAGACTTAGCCACTTACACTAGCACATATCAAGATCCTGGAGTTTCTGTGTATTATTTTATGTTCCTGAGTTCAGAAATGGCTTAGCTGGGCTCTCTCCCAGTTGGATCACTGACAGAGCTGTGATCATTATGTTGGTCAGGTTGTATTCTCTTTTGGAGACTTGGCTGGAGAAAAATCTGTTTCTAAGTGCTTTTAAGTTATTGGCAGAATTTATTCATTTCTTTCTTTTTGCAGGTGTAGTTCTGAGAGCCTCAGTATTTTTTTTTTTTTTGTCAGATGTCAGCAAGAGGCTGCCCTTAGCTTGTAGAGGCTTCTCTCAATTCCAGACCACGTGGCCTTCTCCATATGCAGTTTATATACTCTCGGTTCATTTGCTAAGACCAGCAGTGCTGAGGGTGACTCGAGAATGAACCTGCAAAGGGTCATAGAATGCAAAGCAATCACAGAGTGACCTGTTTGTTGTAGTGCATTGGTTAGAAGCAAGTCACACATTGAGCCCTGCCCCACCCCAGCACCACCCCCCAACAAAGCAAAGGGGGGAGATTACAGAAAGGTGTGAAGACCAGAAGGTGGGGTTCAGTTGGGTGGGTCACCTTAGAGTCTGTCCTCTAAGGAGGGCATTGGAAGACAGATATTCAGGCTAGGTCCAGAATATATATTATTTAACTTTCTATCTTTGTTCCCTGGTTCACAGTGACTAATGATGAAAGTAAATTTAATTGGGCCCCTTCACTGGTTGGATGTGAGGAGTGGTAACTAAGGAGGAAGATTTGAGGATAATTCTGAGTTTTTTAGCAAGGGTTATCTGAACACTGCTGCTATCAATTGGGACAGGAAAACAAATGGAGGAAATGTTGAAGGTTAAGGGGAGAGTAGGTTAACTTGGAGCCACTTCTGTATGTATCTGGAGGGCCTGCACTGTGCATTTTTAAGTAGAATGGTTCACTGCTTCTAACAAGATTGTATTACAGGTAACTTCTAAGGACTTTCATCTTTTTATTCACTTAATATACTTATTGACAACATTTGTTTTTAGGCCGTTAAAGTGTTCTAAGCATGGTTTTGACATGGTGAAATGTGAGGTTTATTTTTAGGTTTCCCTACTGGCAGTGTCAAGCTAGATAGAGAAGAGAGACTATGGACTGAAGCCAGTGGGGAGATGCATCTTGTACCTGTCCAGCTAAGGCGTTGTCAGAGCAGACATAACTTTCTACAGAGCATAACAGATTTTTGTAGACTTAGCCACTTACACTAGCACATATCAAGATCCTGGAGTTTCTGTGTATTATTTTATGTTCCTGAGTTCAGAAATGGCTTAGCTGGGCTCTCTCCCAGTTGGATCACTGACAGAGCTGTGATCATTATGTTGGTCAGGTTGTATTCTCTTTTGGAGACTTGGCTGGAGAAAAATCTGTTTCTAAGTGCTTTTAAGTTATTGGCAGAATTTATTCATTTCTTTCTTTTTGCAGGTGTAGTTCTGAGAGCCTCAGTATTTTTTTTTTTTTTGTCAGATGTCAGCAAGAGGCTGCCCTTAGCTTGTAGAGGCTTCTCTCAATTCCAGACCACGTGGCCTTCTCCATATGCAGTTTATATACTCTCGGTTCATTTGCTAAGACCAGCAGTGCTGAGGGTGACTCGAGAATGAACCTGCAAAGGGTCATAGAATGCAAAGCAATCACAGAGTGACCTGTTTGTTGTAGTGCATTGGTTAGAAGCAAGTCACACATTGAGCCCTGCCCCACCCCAGCACCACCCCCCAACAAAGCAAAGGGGGGAGATTACAGAAAGGTGTGAAGACCAGAAGGTGGGGTTCAGTTGGGTGGGTCACCTTAGAGTCTGTCCTCTAAGGAGGGCATTGGAAGACAGATATTCAGGCTAGGTCCAGAATATATATTATTTAACTTTCTATCTTTGTTCCCTGGTTCACAGTGACTAATGATGAAAGTAAATTTAATTGGGCCCCTTCACTGGTTGGATGTGAGGAGTGGTAACTAAGGAGGAAGATTTGAGGATAATTCTGAGTTTTTTAGCAAGGGTTATCTGAACACTGCTGCTATCAATTGGGACAGGAAAACAAATGGAGGAAATGTTGAAGGTTAAGGGGAGAGTAGGTTAACTTGGAGCCACTTCCCAGATGAAGAAATCTTGTAGAGCAGTTCTTAAAACTTTAATGGGTTGCAGATCACTTGGACATCTTAATACAGTGGTTCTGATGCTTCATGTCTCAGGTTGCACCCTGAGATCTCTATTTCTAATAAGGTCCTAGGCAATGCTGACAGAGTCCTTGGGTAAAGCCTCAATAGCAAGCTTTAAGAACAAGCCTGGGGCTTGCCAGGTGGCACTGGTAGTAGAGAACCCACCTGCGATGCAGGAGACATAATGAGATGCGGGTTTGATCCCTGGGTTGGGAAGATCCTCTTGAGGAGGGCTTGGCAACCTACTCTGGTATTCTTGTCTGGAGAATCCCCATGGACAGAGGAACCTGGTGGGCTACAGTCCATGGGGTCACAAAGAGTTGGACACTACTGCAAAGGACTTCTAATGCTTTTGTTTCTGAACCATCTAAAGCATTTTGAAAATCTACCTTTTAGCAGCTTTGTAAGTTGACATCTAATATTTTTTATTGAGTTTAAATAGTTACAAAGAATATGATTTTCAGTGTGTTGTCACTATTCATATTTTAAAGTAAGCCATTACATCTCTCTTTTAAATGTATCCTCAGGCCTATAAACCATAGTGATTTGATCATCATCATCTATTTTAACAATATACTTGTTTTAACAAGCTTTTCTTATGTAGTCAAAAATTATGCACTATTCCTTTTTCTCATTGAACTTACATTTTCATTATTCTTTCCCAAAGAATCTTATCCTTATGTGATACAATTTTCTGTTGGACTCTTACTGATCAATATCTACTTAGCTACCACAAAAATGCATATAAATTGAAATATTTTAAAAATGAAAAATTTTTATGTCCAGAAAGTTTGAATCTTAAAATTTTCATCTGGTTTAAATTATTTGTTGCATTTAGTTGACAACTTCCTGATGGGTCATATGGTAAAGAATTTGCCTGAAATGCGGGAGACCTGGGTTCAATCCCTGGATTGAGAAGATCCCCTGGAGAAGGAAATGGTAACCCACTCCAGTATTCTTGCTTGAAGAATCCCATGGACAGAAGGGTCTGGGGGGCTGCAATCTGTGGGGTCACAAAGAGTCAGACACAACTGAGTGACTAACACTTTGATCAAAATAACACATAATACAAATTTCAGTAAACACTGAGTAGAATTGTACCAGGAACACATCTTTTGATGAAACAATTGGGGTCAGGGTTCTTTTTTGCTTATCTGCTGTGTCAAGGATAAAAATTACTTTTTGATAGAATGAGATACTGTACAAAATCAATTGTCTGTAATTTCTGTCTTAATGTGTTTAAATAAGTGTGTTGCTCAATGCTATGAATACTTTTAAAGATATTTGCAAAAAAGTCAGATAATAATCTATCAAGTTATTTTTAATAATGTATTAATGGATATGTTAGTTCAATTTTCCTTCAAATTTACTGAAAATAAAGATTTGGAAACCATTTCATGTATCTTATAATAGTAAAAATCAGGATAGGTGAGAGCTGTTCTTTTCTTTGTAAAAGAGGAGAAAATGGGGGTAGTGGAGAGATGAAAAGTGGGCAGGATGCTGACTAGAAGCACTTTCTTAGGAAGATGAGTTAGAGGGACAAGGATGCATGGAAACTGAAGGTCTGAAAATATATTCCTTTTAGACTGTTCTTGCTCCCATAACTTTTGAAAAGTCTGTGCACAGGGGTACTACAAGTATTCCAGTTTGAAGACTGCTACAGAGTTCAGAAGAGAGGCTGGGCTGAAGGTAAAATTGGGATCATAGGAGCAGAAATGCATGCACAGTAAAAGCTGCACAGACCACATTAATTCAGAATTTTAGGAGTAGAGTCTGGATTAAAGGAGGTTTTATCTTATATGTGGAAAGAAGAAAAGTGGGTTGCAGACTCAGGGGTGAACAGGTTTATGGGGAGACTGAAAAACATAGTATATTCAAGTCTTTTAGGAAATCCTAGATCTATGTGTACAGAAGAGACTGGACACGATTATCACCCCTGACCTGTGTTACAGCTGTTTCTCTGTTCAGGGACACTGTGTCAGTTTATCTCTATTTTCTCAGGTGTACATAGGGTGCCTGAGCTAATGAAACTTCATTACTTAAAATGTAGGAAGGACGTGAGGGATGGAGGAAGGAAGGAAATCTGATTCTGTCCTTTTTCTCATTGCCTATTCTTCTTCTGCTCCATCTCAAATGGCTCAGTCCAGGTGACTTTAGAAAGTCCTTTCAACACCAAGATGTTTTGATTCTTTGAATCAACTACATTTTAAAGACATATAAAATATCGGTAAAATGAGTCATGTTTTTTTTAATTTTATTTTGAATAGATCCTTAGAAAATCTTTGTTAGGTATGTTGAATTTATTTTCATAGGGAGACCAGGTGAAAGAAAGAAGGTGACATCTACTACCAACCCAGTGCTGGAAATTTCTTGTTCTCCGCTTTATCAAATACATGATAATGAAACACCATAATCTCAGGATCAAGGAAAGGCTACCTTGACTGAACAAAAGGAAGACAACTAGAGGTTTGCAATTCACATTCTGAATCACCACTCCCAGAAAGAATGTATTCTCTGTCTCTGACATTCCCAGACCCATTTTGTGCCCACCTCTGTCATTTCTTTGTGCTCGCCTCTTTCTGGGTTGTATGTAGGTTTTTGCCTTTCCTGTTGGTATTTGTGATCAAATAACTTGGGATATTTATGCTTAAACAGCAAGATATTCCCAAGAACAACTGTGGTTCGATATTTTCCATAGAACTAATAATAAACTGCTGCCTAATAACTATGAAGAGTCTGATGCCTTATAAAAAGTGTGGAGGAGGTTGAATTTTCTCAGTAGAGAATCATAGAACTAGAAGAGACCTTTCTTTGTTATAGGAGTAAAATCATCCAGATTTTTTGTTGTTTTGCTTTATTTTTTTCCCCTTATCATCTGAAAAAGTTGGAGAGGCATGATAAAAAGTTCTAGATTCTTACCAACATACTTGCTATATCTCCTCCGTTACTTCTGTTCTATTTCTCTGCTCCTGACCTAATATTCGTTTATACACTTAGCATTTAAATAGGTTAGAGAAGATGCTGATGCTCCAAAGCATCAAGCCAGCAGGGAGAATAATCTAGGATCAAAACTCTCCTTTGTTGCAAATCACAAATGCAGAAAGGCAAAGCTGTTTTTAGCTAATATATCTTTTATCTCTTTTCATCTGTCAAGGCATGCTTGGCATCTTGCAGGGGCTTAATTCTTAAAATTGGATGCAACATTTTGCATGTTGTAAATTTTCTCTATAGCTTTCATCAGAGGCTTGAAAAGATAAATTTTGCTCTTTATAAAGGTAAAGAACCACCAGTTTGCTGGGCTAATTTTTCTGCATGGCATTGAGTAATTCCTAGGGTTTCCCTAGTGAAGCATAGAATTCATAGTACCTCTCACCCTCCAATCTTGTGAAACTTGGGCACTTTGGCTATATAAAGACTAAAGTTTGCCCTCTGTTTCTATTCTCTTAGAACAATTCTCTTCTCTAGGTCCAGACAATCTTAACTGCATTTTTCATGAAAAATTCAGAGGCAATGATGAGAATTCTCTTTCAGGGTCTGCTTGTAAGTGGGAAATGCTGTCGATATAATCTGATAGTAATTCCTAAGTACTGATCTCCCACTACCTCCCCTGACATTTAGAGTCCTCACTATGTGTCAGGCATGCGCTAAGCACTTTATGAACATTGTCTCATTTCATTTTTATAATAACCCTTTTAGATAGGCATTATTGTCCCATTACAGGTATTGCCTTACGGGTAAGGAAACGATAGCCCAGAGAGATAAGGACCTTGGGTGGTAGTGACAAAGCTAATGCTTGAAATCCAAAGACATACTGAGACTATTTGTTTATAGAAGCTGATCTAGTTTATCAAACTATTTCTGTCAATTAGGTGACATTAGGTAATGGTGTGATCAGTCTGTTAATGAAGGGGGAAGCAGAGAAATCAAAAAGCTGGTAGAGATAGGATGCGTTTGGTTGGAACCCTTGGAATCTATTTCTTATATCCCCTTGATCATCAACTTCTGAAGGTACATTAGGATAGTGACTTAATATTTCTGTGCTGTTTCTTCTGTAAAATTTAAAACTTCTATTGATTATAGAAGTTAAAATAATAGGTAGCAATCAAGAATTTCAACAAAGGAAATAATTATGATAATAATAAAATAAATAATAATGCATCTGTAGATTCAGATTAAAGACCTGAATGCAGGAAGACCTCAGGTTTCCTTTGCGGAAAAGATCCCTTTGTTAGTATTATCTTGAGTGTGGTTCTTATGCTCAGTAAGTGAATTCTAAATCTTTCCTCCAGGTTTCTCCCCCTTCTCCCTCTCAGTCTCTCCCTGTTTCTCCCTTTCTTTTCCCTTCATCCTTCTCCCTACCCTGTCCTTCTCCTCTCACCCCCTCTCTTCCCCTCTTGCTTCCCCGTCTTGGATTACAAAGACAGCACTGTGCCTGGGAGAGTGCCGAAGGGTGTCGGGGGAGATGAAAATGAGGCCAAATAAGTTTTAACAAACTCTGCCTCTCTTTGCAGCTGCTGTTTGGAAAGCAGGCTTCCTGCCACTCTGGGCCTGAACCTGCCAAATGCCTGATCCTGGGCTGAGCCCCAGGACCTCAGCCACAGACCACTGTCTATGGCATTTCCAAATGCGGTCCCTCAGCTGTGCTGCAGGCAATAAATATCTCTTTCTGTAATGGGGAAATGGGCCCGTGAAATCTATCCGTTCATCCTGCAGAGCCTCTGCCCGGCTGCCTCTTTATTTTCACCCAAATTGCATTATTGCTCTTTAAGATAGAATCTGGAGACATTTATCAAGTGCCTGTGTGCCAGAGTTCTCAGTATTAGAATATTCTCAAATTCTCCAAGGGAGAGATCAATAGAAAATTATAGCCAGAGGACTGATTAGCAAGATAACGTGGAAGATATTCTTTTTTCCTAGAGACTGTAGCCAGCCCAAATCACATTTAAATTTCTTAGCCCCCTGTTATTAAAGATAGTAACTCAAGGTTTTAACGTTAGAAATGTTAGGTTTATTTTCTTAACATTAAATAATAGAACTGGGACTGCTACATACAGCTAGTTTAACGTGGCAGATAAACAAATAACAATAATAATAACAAATAAACACATAATGTTTTATAATAACAAATAAAAGTTATTATTTTATTGATGTATATTTTGTTGGCCAATCATGGAGTTTCTTTATATATCATCTTATGTAATGACCAAAACAGCCTTGCAGAACAGATATTTTAATTGACTTTTAAAAATAAGGAAAGCGAAGCTGAGAAAATTTGGCCATAGGTTTTCTTACTAATAGTATACATCTTAAATTTACATGCTGGAAAATAGACATGTTCTTGCATTATTGGTAGGAATGTAGATGTAGTAGATACTTTTGCAACTGGAATCAAAATTAAATACAAATAAAACATGATCTTTTTTAAAAAAATGATACCATCTGTATATACATATACATACACAGTTATCTTTTTATCTATTTTTTCTTTGGATAAAAGTTATGGAATGATATACATGGTTATCTCTATGAAATGATACCAGAGGACTATGGAGAGAAAGAGAGCTGTTATTTATAACTTTATGCTCATCTCAACTTTTGATTTATTATTTTTTGCCAAGACCATATATTGCCTTTATATTACAAAAAACTAGTTTGAAATAAAATGAAAGTGAGCCTGGTCTTTGACCCTGCATTATTTTAGTAATGTATCCAAGAAAATAATTAAATAATTGCGCACAAATATGTAAAGAAAAATATTCATTCCAGTGCCATTCAGTTCCGTTCAGTTCAGTCGCTCAGTCATGTCCTACTCTTTGCGAGCCCATGAATCGCAGCACTCCAGGCCTTCCTGTCCATCACCAACTCCCAGAGTTTATTCAAACTCTTGCCCATCGAGCCAGTGATGCCATCCAGCCATCTCATCCTACGTCATCCCCTTCTCCTCCTGCCCCCAATCCCTTCCAGCACCAGGGTCTTTTCCAATGAGTCAGTTCTTGGCATCAGGTGGCCAAAGTACTGGAGTTTCAGCTTCAGCATCAGTCCTTCCAATGAACACCCAGGACTGATCTCCTTTAGGAGGGACTGGTTGGATCTCCTTGCAGTCCAAGCCATTAGGAGCACCTAAATATCTATCAGTAGATCTTCAGTTCAGTAAAATACAGTGAATTCATATTGGAGAAGGGAATGGCAACCCACTCCAGTATTCTTGCCTGAAGAATTCCATGGACAGAGGAGCCCAGTAGCTTTCAGTCCATAGCGCTGCAAAGAGTTGGACACGACTGAGCATGTACACACCAGGGGATTCATATAATAGAGTGCCAGAGAATTATCTTTAAGAGTAAATAGTTGTATGCCTATTGACATTAAATTCTCTCCAACTGATGTTCACCAGGATACACCTGTAATTTAACAAGTTAAGATTCCTGTTGCAAGGAGGAAAAGCATAGCATAGAGAACGGTGGGACATCTGAGTTAGAGGAAGTTAGAAGGGACTTACTTACGAAGGTGGGTTTAAGGAAACAGGGCTTTGCTGTGGGTTGGATACTGTCAAACAGTGGAGCAATTCTGTGAATGTATATCTTAATCTTTTCTGGGAGGAAGACAAAGTAGAGCAAAGTTAAAGTTATAAAAGATAAAGAAGCAGCAATCACTGGTACTAGTCAGAAAACAGGAATATCTGATTATTTTTCTGGTGGCTTGGACAGTGTTCATGTTTCATCCATGTTCAGACCTGGTACAGGTTGTCTTGTTTTTATCTTGATCCATCATAGTCACAGAGTGGGCTTGTCAATTGTTGATGTTCTGTGAAATTATTTATGTTTAACAAAAGAACATCAAGTTCTAACTGTAGTACCAGGCCAGCTCTCAGATGTCAGAGGTTGCTTTTCTCCTTCTCTGAAGACGCCCATGATATATTCAGTAAAAGATAAAAGCAAGATACAGAACATTACTTATGATGTAATCTTATTACAGAAATAGCAACACCTATTTTGTTTGGACATAGAGATAAGGTTGGAAGAATAGATTCCTCATTATCAAAAATGATCCATGAAACAAGGTTAGATTGGGAGATTTTTTTTTAAACTTTCTGCTTTTCTGTTTTGCTTGAAATTTTTAAAAATAATGAGTACATATAATTTTTACAAGCAAAGCAAGCAATTAAAATAATTCCAAGTGGAAAATAGAAATTGGGACATCTGTCTGAATAACCATGTTTGTTTCTGTCCACCCAGTGCCCACGTGGTGAATGTATTCTCTTTTCCATACTGAATCTCTCCCATGGTAGAATTTGAAGAAAAGGCCACATCTTTGATTTTTTAAACATATGGTGGCCACAGTTTGAGTTGTATATGATCATTAGAGGAATAGGGATGGGGGAGGTGGTTTGAGCTTCAATAAGCAAGATAGTTTTTTTAGCGCTCTTCTCCAGCTTTTTAGCCCTTATGATAGACAACTATATAACGGTACGAGCTAGTGTGAGCACATATTATACGAGTGACCCACTTAGTGGTCCAACTTAATTTTTGATAGCGCTCTAGCTCTCACAAGTACTCTGGTTTGGATACCAGGTTACATAGTTGCTTCAGGAAGACCTTCCCAGAGAAAGGATGGTTGGGGTGAGAGACTTGACAAACGCGGAGGGAATTGTCTGGGATTAAAGAGAATGCCAGGCAGATGGAGCAGTGTGTGCTGAGGCCCACAGTGAG